TATATATAATTAACTCCTATTTTTGTTAAAAATAGCAACCAAAAATAGAATTCAAATCAAGATGTAGTTAATTTTAAATCGTACTTTAATGTTTTACAGTTTATTCTTTTCGATCAAAGAAATCTTATCTTTTCCCCATATTTCATCAATCGTACACAAACGGTTCGTTTATTTGAACTTAAAGCTTCCTAATGCTTTTCTTGGATTTATCTTGGATTTAGATACGAAGGATTTCGATCCTGAGAATACGCATCTCTCTCAATGCCGAATTTTGTACTTTTGTTATCTCCGTTTTTTCTTTGATGGGTCCACGCATTCAGCATAGGCGTGTTTGCATTTCTTTTACCCTGGGGATGCTTACGGGACGGTGCGCAATTTCGAAAAGCCGATTTCAATTCCGCTCTCCTTTTTACAGGAAGAGAAGCGAAAGCTCGGGCGTGGGCGGCGCAGGATTACGAGAATCGCATAGACAGGCCTGTGAACACGTGCGAAAATCTCGTGTCTCGACGTTTGCACCCATGTCATCGATCGTTCTTCCGTTTAACGTTTCGCGTTGGGAAAATCCGATTTCTTCATTCTCCCCTCATCCCTCTGGTAAGTAACACGACTTGCAAGAGAAATGCATGTTAGGATGTACATCCGATTTGTGAACAATTTTTTGGAAAATAGAGATTTATCAGCAATTTAAATAAATTTAAAAAATTCTTTTATTTTATTTATCTAAAATTATATTTTTATTATTTTTATATTATATATTATTACAGAAAGTCAAACTTAATTTAGCATACAAGCATATACGTGTATAAGTATTTTATAAAATTGATTTTTTTATAAGATTTTTATAAGATAAAATGTTTTCTTTATTTTTATTACGTAAAATTAAACAATGAATACATAAATTATTATTAGAAAAATTGTCATAACTGTATTGTAAACTGATCATGCATTTACGCTTTTTCCACTGACACAACATTAGGGTAATGTATAACGACGAACTTTCCGGTTCCGGTCTTTATCTTTTCGCATCGTCAACTCTATTCTCTCATATTCTCTCGTATTCTGCCTCCCTTGCACATCGAAAATAATCCTTTTATGTCAATTCTTAAATCTCAATTCTTTAAGGATCATTCGACTTTTCGCACAAAAACTTGATCTCTCTCTAAATATCGTTCGTTTATGTATTGATTTTTGTACAAAAAAAAAGATTCAAAAAAACATTAAAATTAATGTAATACAATGAAAAATTATAATACGTAGTAGAACAATTAATATCTGGAATTTCATAATAATTAGAGAAATGTGGAAAGCGGAAAGAAAATTCCACCTCCATCTCTTTTTATCCTTCTTTTCTTGTTCCATGAATGTTGGCACATTTTTTAATTATGTCAGCGCTGGGATATAGAAAAATCCACAGAATATTTTCTATTCCTCGTGTGCAACGTATAAGCACATTTTTATGCGAGAAATTGATATATTTTTCCCATTCAGCAAAAGCAGTACAGAAAGGAATAATATCCTATCTTCAGAGCTGCAAACTTGTTAATATTCTATCGGCGCCTTATATCCTTCTGGGACAGTCTCTACCTACCCATGTTACTTTTTTTCTTAGTTCTATAATATAAAAGAGTATCAGTACAAGAGAAAAATTCTCGACTGGGGCACATAGGTTGAATCGATTCGAAATTTTAAGTGAGGTTCTTTAGAAACTTCCAAGCAATGCGGAAATCCAAAAGAGTGTTTGCAAAGTTATAATATCAAATATTTTTTTCATTTTTTATGTTGCGTAATTTTTTGTCTTGTATGCTTGAAAAAATTA